ACTCGATGCTTCCCAAAGTTAGTACAAAACAAGTCAACCTGGCTTGTAAGTAATTATTAACCTAATCTAATATTAGGTTGATGTCAGTGTTAATTGTTAGGCATGACGTTCCTCTATTCATTTTGCGTTTTAATAAGTACCGCTTTTCTATCACACTATCAGTTAAGGGTCTGAAGATGTTTGACGGGGAAAGACTTTTAACAATAGACCAAGACCCCTTCCCTACATGTATCAAAGTGGCAAAATTTAACTGAAGACACGTCCACTTCGCCACAAATTTATTGCAACGGATATGACTCCTTCTTCCCTAGAATTTCATATTTTATACGATTGTACGATTGTACGATGTACGATTTCATATTTTTCTGTAGTCACCAATATAATGTTAAAAAAACAGAGGTCTTCATATATATTCTGAGAGTTCATCAACAAGGAAACTACAGTAGGCAGGAATACAAAAAATAAATAAAAATAGTGTTCATCCCTGTTAAAAGCTACCATATTGATGGCCATTGATAAAGCTACCATTTTTGGAGTTTTCATCCCCTTGAAAAGCTTCATCCACCTGTTGGGCCTTTTAATTCATCAACGAGGAAACTACAGTAGGTAAGAATACAAAAAATTAATAAAAATAGTGTTCATCCTTGTTAAAAGCTACCATATTGATGGCCATTGATAAAGCTACCATTCTTGGAGTTTTCATTCCCTTGAAAAACCGCCGTATTGATGGCCATTGGTGAAACTACCCTTCTAGGAATTTTCATCCCCATGAAAAGCTTTATCCACCTGTTAGGCCTTTTAATTCATCAACAAGGAAACTACAGTAGCTAAGAATACAAAAAATTAATAAAAATAGTGTTCATCCCTGTTAAAAGCTACCATATTGATGGCCATTGATAAAGCTACCATTTTTGGAGTTTTCATCCCCTTGAAAAGCTTCATCCACCTGTTGGGCCTTTTAATTCATCAACAAGGAAACTACAGTAGGTAAGAATACAAAAAATTAATAAGAATTCTTAATGGAGCCCGAGAACAATCATAGGATCTTCCTCCCAATCAACGAGGAAGCTACTTTTTTAGCAACCTCCTGATCATCACGTTTCGCGTATTCCTCCTCATTCTCGTATTGTTCCTCCTTGCCTTCTTCCCTATCGTGACCCTGCACGGTGCCATACTGATGGCCATTGGTGAAGCTGCCCTTCTTGGAGCTTTCATCCTCATGAAAAGCTCCGTCCACCTTTTGGGCCTTTTCATGCGCCCCTTCGGCGTTTGAATGATGAACATTCTCGGTTTCATGGGACTCCTTATGCCCGCTGGAGTGAGAGTCGTCATAGAAGGTGGTGTCCTTTTTGTACTCGTCCTTGTGGTAGACGTTGTGGAACCCTGAAGTCTTGTGTCCTTTGTTATGACCATCGCTCTTATGGAAGCTTCCACCCTTCTCTCCCTTCTCCGTTGATTCGGCAGCTCTGTAACCCTTTTGCTCCTCTTCTTCCCCCTTCTTGGTACCTTCTGATGTGTGGTGGTGGCCACTTTGGTGGGATTTCTCCAGGGCTCCTTCTTCGCCCTTGTCGAAGCCCTCTGCACTTTTGTAGCCCTTCTTGCTCTCCTTTCCTGCTGCCTCTTCGTGAGTGGCCTTAACTTTGGAACCCTTACCTTTCTTAAAAGCCGTTTTGCCCCCTGCTTTCCTCGAAACCCCTAGGACTCCGTCATCCACAGAAACTGGCAACTGTATATCGACATTATTATAACCCAAGTTCCCGATCCGAGCCAATGGCGACGTCCTTAAACCAGAAATCGCACGACCCAGTTCGAGTCCTTTGTCCAAACCATTCAGATCGAGTCCATTGTCGGATATTCCGAAACTCCCGTCTTCGTCTTCGTCTTCGTCATCCTCTTCTATGTTCTCGTACACGTTTATGGTTTTGTAATTGCCCAGGGTTATGTCCTTCCCGAGGTTACCTGGAATCATATTACACACGTTCTTTTGTTAAGGGGATGTCGAAGTAACATCTAAGGGGTCTATCGTTCATGAAACTTTTCTCCTAATTTGGTGTGTCAAATCGTTTCATACTTGGTATTATGAATGTGGAGACTATGAGGAAGGTCCTCACGCACAAGAAATTTCATTTTTTTTTAATTGTATCGATATCTATAAACAAATTGTTGAAAAAATGAAATTTCATGGGTGTCGGGACCTTCCTTACAACCTTCATATTCACGTTGTGAAGTTTCATGAAACTTTTCTCCAAATTTCACGTACCGAATCATTTCATACTTGGTATTGTGAATGTGGAGACTATAAGGAGGGTCTTCACACCCAAGAAATTTCATTTTTTTTTAATTGTGACAATATCTATAGACAATTTGTTGATAAATTGAAATTTCATGGGTGTCAGGACTTTCCTTACAACCTTCATATTCATGTTGCAAAGTTTTATGAAACTTTTCTCCAAATTTGGTGTACCGAATCGGTTCATACTTGATATTGTGAATGTGGAGACTATAAGAAAAATCCTCACGCTCAAGAAATTTCATTTTTTAATAAAAAAAAATGTGACAATATCCATAAACAAATTTTTGAACAATTGGAATTTCATAAATTAAATTATCTAAATTAAAAAAACATAATTTCGATACATGTTTATCAATAATAGAAGCTGAATATAACGTCTACAAATATTTTAGATGTTTTCAAATGAAATCTGCAGGACACCTTAAAAAATCTGTCGCTTGAGATATTGATGAAAGATTAGAGAAAAAAGTATTTATAAATAATTCCGTGCTACCAGTTCATACCTCGTGAATGCCCAAGTCCGTATTTAGCGGGAAAGTTGAAACCTCCGTAGAGTTGACCAAGAATATCTGCAGTTGATAATCCATTGTATCGAGAATTACTCAAATCGGCGTTTCTGAAGGCTGTAGTCAGTTTTTTGGATCCTATCCCGCCGAGGCCGCCATATTGGCCGAGTCCATTTCTCCCGAAGACGTAACTACTGGCCGAACTTTCCATGTCCTTTTTCATGATTTCCTTCCCGGAAGGGATATCTCCAATCGTTTTTCCTAACACAATATATAACTGCAAGAGAGACGCCGTAGTCGCTATCTCTGCAGCCAACTTCATTGTTTATTGCGACCGACACGACAGAAAACCCGAAACGACGCCAAGATGGCGGCTCTTCCTTCTTTGAGAAAAACTCGAGAGAAGGAGTCTTTTATACTAAAACGTTATTTCCCAATGTGCTTTGTTATTGGACCGCTCAAATGTGGTATCCTGAGATTCTAGGTTAGGTCGCCAATTGTGGCACACAGTGCTTGGTTCCTCGGGTCATGAATTAATCGTAGATCCGTTCCAAATGTGGTTATTGCGCGGTCTCCACGTGTTCCACATCGCATTCACTGTTCATTTCTCATAAATGTACCGACGAGATGTACAATCTTTGAATGTTGAAACGAAACTGTATTAAAGAAATTGACCGGCTGCATAATAATGTTAGAATGGAATAACAATGGAATCGAAAATTATATAGTTTTATACGGTTTCATATAATTTTAAAACGCCTCATAAATGTACCGACAAGATGTACAAACTTTGAATATTGAAACAAAACTGTATTAAAGGAATTGACCGGCTGCATAATAATGTTAGAATGGAATAACAATGGAATCGAAAATTATACAGTTTTATATGGTTTCATACAATTTTAAAACGTTTATGATGAATTCGGAAGATAATATTTAAAGAAATACCTATTTTAGAGTGAAACAAAACGTTTTGTACATCTAGAAGAAAAATGTTATACAGTTTTATACAGTATTACATATTGTATAGAATTATGAAACGTTTATAATGAATTCGGCAGATAATATTTAAAGAAATACCTATATTAAAATGAAACGAAACGTTTTGTATATCTATAAGAAAAATATTATACAGTTTTATACAGTATTATAAATTGCATACAGTTTTAAAAGGTCTGTTGTATATCTATCTACGTTTAGAACTGTCTGAAACTTTGACACATAATTCGTGAGCACCTAGAAATTATCTTGACACTCAAAATTTGGATTCTTTTTTTTAATTTTTGAACTCAGCCCCCACCAGAACCAAAATGGCGTCGCGGTCTCATATTTCGATTGATATCCTATTATTGAAAAATTTCCCACTTTAGCTTTGTTATGTATGTTGCAAGGGTCCACGCATACACTTTTATATTTTCCTTTGCATACTTTTCGTCGGCCATGCAACATCGAATTGTTAAGATGTCTGCAATCCGCTTTTTGCGAGCGTTTTGTTGTTCCTCGCCCTGGCCCAGATATATAAATTCGCGAGACTATTAACGCGTGAAATCTTTTTACTATCTGGTGAAACTACAAAGGATAGCATGATTAACGTATCGCCATTGCTGCTTTGTGTTGGACTATTGTCATTCTTCTTTTTTTTTAATTATTTCTTACGATATTCTCAATAATACTTTCGCTAACGAGAGTACGCGTAGCATGTAAGTACCCAGATAGAAATTCATGATCATTGTATGATTAGGAAAATCCATTTAGAGACCATTTGCTGCATGAAATTTGTGCAATATATGTACGTATTCTGCATTATAAATATTATAAAAAATATGCATAATGGTAAAAAGAGGACTATTAATAGACAAACTTTGTGAGTAGGTACTCAATTTTGTTTGTACTTGTTCATACAAATTCTTGATCATTGTTTGATGAGGAAAATTCATTTAGAGACCATTTGCTGTATGAAATTTCTGCAATATATGTACGTATACTGCACAATAAATTTCATAAAAAATATGCATAATATGCAAAGATATGCAATATATAGAAAATATAGGAGAAATATTTTGTGCTACTAGGGGAGGTTATGTGCAGGTATTAGGGAGAAACGAAATTTAAACACGTGGTTTATACTTCAATAAATATATATTTACACACATGTGAGAGAGATTAGGATAAATGGTAGTATTTTCTAGTAACGAGTTTTTCTAACGATGGCTCCGAAGGTATCCGTGCTCGTTAGCTTTGCTTAAGCCGCCATTGGTCACATAATCCGCATGATTATCATGATAAATCTCTTCGCCTTCTTTCCCTTTATGGCCCTGAGTTTGGCTGTGCTGATGGCCCTTATCGTAGTTTCCTTTATCCCCCCGGACCTGGTTTTCATATCCTGAATCCTGATGACCACCCTCTTTGTGTCCACCCTCTTCCGCTGCATGATGTTCATCAAAGGAGGCGTGCTTGTCATGATGACCACTTTTGTGGTCCTCGTCGTAGAAGTCAGTGTTCTTCTTGTACTCGTCCTTATGGTACACGTTGTGATAACCTGTGGTCTTGTGGCCTTTCTTGTGATAAGCCGAGTTACCGTGGCTGTCGCCTTTTTCCCCTTTCACGGATTCTTCATGATGACCATACTGACCATCCGCCTCGCTATGGGACCCTCCATGACCACTGTTACTGTCGTAGTGACCTCAAGAAACACACACAAAGTCGAATAGAATACCATTCGAAGTATATAATTAACAGTTTTCCCGAGACATTGTAAGATAAAGCCATCGACATGTTAATTACAAAATTCTAAACGATCTGGTACCTGACGTTGAAAGACTCCGGTCCAAGCGATACTTTGAAAATAAAGATATATCCTGTACGATGTTCATATATAAATGACCACTTACCAGCTTGATGTTCACTGTCGTGCTTCTCTTTCTCCCCTTTGTCGAAGTTCCTAACATCTTTGAACCCCTTGTCCCCACGTTCGCCATGCTCGGCATGTTCTTCAACGTTATACTGCTTGCCATGTCCCGATGATGACGTTCCGTGATGAGCCCCAACATCAGTGATAACCCCTCCAGGCACAAAGACCCCATTCGGGCCAAGATCACCTCCATGAACATCAAAGTCATCCCCTTCTTCGCTGTCGTCGTCGTCTTCATCGCTGTCCTCGTCATGGTCATCGTCGTCTTCCACGACGTCAATTTGTCCATGTACCTCCCCTTTGCCGTCATGAACATCGGGGATGTATCGATGTTCCACAGGATTGGCCTTAGCTATCACCGGGACATAAGCTCCCACGTATGGCGTTGATAAGGGCACTGCCTGAAGACCATCCTTGATGAACAGCCCTTGATTTTGGTCATACGTTGCGATTCTGCTCTCCGGGGTCCCAAAGGTTACCACTGGTTGGAAGGCATCGATCTTTTCATGATCTGCAACTATGTGAACAGGAGCTGGAGCGTCGTAGAAGTGTCCATTCCCGTGTTTGTCATAGCGCACCAAAGTTGCTGGTTGGCCATGTTGTTGGCTGTACGTGTACCCCGTTGCGGAGTTCTCCAAATCCGCCATCCGCATTTTGGAGACAGTCATGGTCTCCACTTGGTGGGGCATCCCATTTGCCCAGCCCAAGACCACCCCACAGCAAAGTGCCAGAAGTGTGGTACCCATTTGTTGTGTTGCTTCCCTCGATTTGGCCACACTGGAGAACACCTGAGGAACACCCGAGATGCTGGACAAGTTCCAGGACTCTCTGCGTCTCCATATGGTCCTGGTCAGCTCTTTATATACCTTGTCTAGGTGGACCATGAATTTTTATCATGGTCTCGGTGATATCAAGGTCGCTGATAATTCAAGTACGTGACGGTGCTGACTGTGTTTTACCCTGCCACGGGATTAAAACCGTTTGCTTTGCGCAATTCGACTTCGACCGCAGGTTCCTCGACCGGTTCAGGATTGGCGTAACTAGACGTATTCATGGTCACATTAGGCGACGCAGAAGTCCTTGTCATAATTAGTCCTGTGGACCGCTATGGAGGACGTAGACGGCCACCAGGAACGGAAAGTTCTAACTTCAACGTCCTTCATCTTGAAACGATGTCAATGAAATTTAAAATGTGTGGTGGCGGAATTTTTTCATACGTTTTATACTTGGTTGGTTATCTTGTTAGAAGTGGGTTCTAACTTCAACATCTTTCATCTTGAAATGATGTCAATGAAATTTAAAATGTGTGGTGGCGGAATTTTTTAACACGTTTCATATTTGGTTGGTTATCTTGTTAGAAGTGAGTTCTAACTTCAACATCATTCATCTTGAAACGATGTAAATGAAATTTAGAATGGATGGCGGGATTTCTTCGCTCGTTTCATATTTGGTTGGTTATCTTGTTAGAAGTGAGTTCTAACTTCAACATCATTCATCTTGAAACGATGTAAATGAAATTTAAAATGTGTGGTACGCGGAAATAATAAATACGGAATAATAAATACGCGGAATAAATTAAAATCATGAACATCGTACAAATGTTAAAGTCCGAACGTACAAAAATCGTTCATAATCGTTCATTATACTATCATCAAACGGGAGAAGTGAAGAATATATTTGATATCAAGAAAGACTCTGTACTTGAAAACGTATGTCAATTACAGCTGCATTATATTTTCACTACATAATTAAATAATTAACATAAATCCTATATTTTGCATAAACCTGGATAGTACGGCCATAATATATAGCATTATATTTTCACTACATAATTAAATAATTAATAAAAATCCTGTATTTTGCATCTACCAAGATAGTACGGTCATAATATATACCAAGTCCGATCTCCATTGACAAACTAGCGATCGCTCAAAGAAACTTTTCCGTGTTTCCAGAGCGTTCTTTAATCTCCCGAGACGCCCAATCGCGTAGTCCGTGTCTTTGTTGGAGAGAATCTTGTTCGTTATTTCGCCATCCGTTTCGGTCAAGACACTCCGGTCATCGAGGTGCCTTGGTTGACTGGTCCGGTGAGCACTTCTCCCGTTTGCACCACCTCGGTTTCATAGTAAGTCCTCTAGCTAAAAGGCCCAACCTTGAGTGCGCAATACCGCAGCCACGGCGATGTGAAATCGACTTGTCGAAACTTCCGCGGGAACCCTTCCTCGGTGATGGAATCCTCTTCTAGCCAATCAGCCACTGGACCAACACAATAGGTTCAAAGATATAAAAGAGGAGAGTCCAGAACGACATCTTTGCAGTCAAAGTTCTGGAGTATCCTACGAAGGCCACAGACGCCCAGCGTCAGCCAAACCTGAGAAGGCCCTTATCCTTTAAACCAGGACAAACCATCTTCTATCTGGTCCAAGAAGAAAATGAGGAGGAGCCTGAAGAGTTGGCCGATGATATGCCTGCTCTGTTGCGTCGCGACGCATCCACTGGACCATCAGGACACCAGACTCCCTAGATCCGGATCATCGCTGATGAGGTCCAACTCGAGACTGAGAGACCTGGACATCCTAGGGTCGTCCGTAGGCACATTGGAGTACCCATCCAAGGATAGGTATGCCGATTTGATGGGAACCAGGGACGAGGAGAGCGGAAGCGAGAGTTTCGAAGATGTCCAAGTGGCGCCCAAGCCCACGACCTCGAGTAGGTACGAAATGTTGCCGATGCCCAGGAAAGCGGAACCCGATGCTGAGATGTTGCCGGTACATTACACCGGAGTGAAGCCCCCAGGCGTGGACCACATGGAGATGAGGTATCTGGACCCGGACACGGAAGGAACGCAGCAGAAAGTCGTGATCAAGAAAATTGATGGAGGGATAGAGATTGAAACTGGAGGTTCGGAGACTGCTGAAGAGGAAAAAGGGATGGAGGTGTCTAGCAAGGACGATGGGTCTCATGGGTTCAAAGAGGAACGAGGGTTCAAGAAGGGAGCAGTCTTCGAGAAAGGGTTCCGCGATGAGAGGGGGAAGGAAAATCGCAAGGGAGAGTATCAGGAACTCGCGGGGAAGAGGAAGAAGCACGACGATATTGGGTTCCATTATAAGGGAAGTGATGATGAGGATAGGGGAGAAGAGGATGCCAGTTTCCAGCTGGAGGAGGCTAGGAAGAAGGGGCACAATGCTGCTGGATATCGCAACGTTTATCACAAGGACGAGTATAAGAAGGACGCGGATTTCTATAATAAAGGACACAAGGGAGGGGACTTCCAGAAACATGGAAGATACGATGAGAAGCATGCTGCGATGGAAAGGGCGTTCAAAAAGGAAGCCAACCAGGATTTGGGAACTGAAGAAGTAGTAGCTGCGAAAGAAGGCAGCTTTGAAGCGGGGCATGATCTTAAGGATAGTAAAGGCCAGGATGGCAAAAAAGGATACGATGAATTTCATGAGAAGAACGAAGAGACTGGGAACAAAAGCGGAAGGATTTCGGTGGGGAAGAAGCTGGCCTTTGGTAAAGGACAAATTTTGAAAGCTCGCTGAAGGACTTCACGTTTAGCCAATTTCAGACCACTCTTTCTGGAATGCAGATAACGAAATTAAAGACTATTTTCTTACGGGTATAATATTTATTCCTATTCATGAACTGACGATGAGTATTACTTAGTCTTAAGAAAGTATTTATTGTAGATGTCAATAAAGTTACCTCTCTTTCCATAGTTAATTAACTTACAATAGTTAATCGGCTCATCACTTCCCAAACGATGGAAAACCGAATCATCACTATTCCCTAGGTATCATATGCAGTTAATAGTTGCACAACAATTTAATTTTCCAATAGTCAGAAGTACGTCAAGAACAGAGACAGTCCTTTACTCCATATCATCTGATCATCCCATTCAGATGACACCAGGGATGGGATCAAACCCCCGTTTCCCAGGTTCCTAACCTCTTTTCTAACCATCTTCCTTTCGCTCATTTCTAAGCGCAAAAAGATGATACACCCGAGGCATTTAATCTTATTTCCTGTGTAGCTTTTCGTAGTTGCCTGTTCTCACCTAGGCCAGCCATAAAGCGGTCGGAATGGGCTTTCGTCACGGAAGCCCCCTGATTAATGGATATTAATAATGTCGGCTCGGTTGTAGCGATAAATTGCAATTTTTATCCGGCCCGCGCGCAAATGAGAATGAAGGCGTAATTGATCCAACGTCGGGATGATGTATTCATGTTTGGTGGGCGATGTCGCGCCCGGGGGAGGAAAGCGTGACGACGCCGGGCGTCGGTCGTGACGCCGTGGAGGGACGTCCTACCACGGAGCGTCGCCACCCCTTCGTGGCTCAGTGAGCTCGGGTTCTGTGCATTCATCAACAATAAGCCGCGGCAGCTACCAGGGGGCTGGAGAACACGGTGCGAATACATAAATCTGCGAGGTCTGCACGCTGCCAGCCATATCACTTCGCACAACGGCTATGAATGAATAGGGCTGCTGAGTTATCGTCTGGTCGCCTTCCAGGGATGCAGCTCGCTCTGGACCGAACCTCCGAAAGGGATGTGGAGCTTGGAATCGGGAAATTCGGCTCTGCTCGTAAATACAACGCAGTTGCGACCAGACGTGCTACCGACTCGGGAAGGAAGAGGTTAGGACGTTCCTTCCTTTCGTGGTGGTCCAGCGAGGGATAGGGCATGTTCTGTAGGTTCTCTACCTCGCGTGTTGGATAGGACCCTAGAAAGAGCTTCTACAGGTGGATGGATATGGAAATTTGGTTGGACACATTGGAACAATGCAACTGTACTCAATGATACTGACTCGGGAGGAGAAAGATTAGGACGTTCCTTCCTTTCGTGGTGGTCCAGCGAGGAATAGGGCATGTTCTGTAGCTTCTCTAGCTTGCGTGTTGGATAGGACCCTAGAAAAAGCTTCTATGGGTGGATGGATATGGAAATTTGGTTGGACACATTGGAACAATGCAACTGTACTCAATGATACTGACTCGGGAGGAGAAATATTAGGACGTTCCTTCTTTTTGCGGCGGTCCAGCGACGAACAGGACATGTTCTGTAGCTTCTCTAGCTCACGTGTTGGATAGGACCCTAGAAAGAGCTTCTATGGGTGGATGAATAAGGAAATTCGATTGGGCTCATTGGAACAATGAGCCCAATCGAACTGCACCTGATGATATTGATTCGGGAGGAGAAAGATTAGGACGTTCCTTCTTTTTACGGCGTTCCAGCCAGGAACAGGACATGTTCTGTAGCTTCTCTAGCTTGCGTGTTGGATAGGACCCTAGAAAAAGCTTCTATGGGTGGATGGATATGGAAATTTGGTTGGACACATTGGAACAATGCAACTGCACCCGATGATACTGACTCGGGAGGAGAAAGATTAGGACGTTCCTTCTTTTTGCGGCGGTCCAGCGAGGAACAGGACATCTTCTGTAACTTCTCTAGCTCGCCTATTGGATAGGACCCTAGAAAGAGCTTCTACAGGTGGATGGATAAGGAAATTCGGTTGGGCTCATTAAAACAATGCAACTGCACTCAATGGTACCGACCGAAAGTTAGGGGTTCTCTATCTTCAGTTTCCAATTAGAAATGGTCCTTTAACTTTGAGGAAATGAGAGTCCACAGATGTTCAATTATTGTCGGGTCTTCGGGGATGCTGCTCGTCGGTTTTCCTTGGCTCGTTGTCTGGACCAAATCTCGAAGAGGGATTTGGCGTCCAAGAGAATCGAGGAGCTCGTAAATACAATGCAGCTGCGCCCGGAAATGGTATTGCACGACGAAGGAAGAGATTACTAAGTGCATCGTTGTCTCACCAATTTCATAACAACATCCAATCACAACTACAAAGATTGCTCCTTGGGTTCCACGTCCATAATCCTCATAATTGGCCTGGCAATTCTTTGCAACTTATAATTAATAATTTAATATCAATCATGATTTTTCAAGCTAGCTCGCTGGGTCTCTCATGAAACATTGACAGCAAAAGATGTTAAAATAAAATATGCCAAAGCATTTAATACTTATCAGACTCGTCAACGACCATTATCATTATCTTTAGCTATAGCCACTACTTTTTTTAAATTGTTGACCTTTAATACAGGTATACTTATCGACTTATCACTATAAACAATATAATTATGATGAGCTCTGGCAGAAGATATGCCTTTTCTTATCCAATGCCCATGAAATGTTTCTTATCAGAGTTGTATTTTCAATATTAACCATTTGCACTGAAAAGGTGACTTAGTTACCGGCACCTAGAATGGCAAAGTCCTCGAGTGCAATTTGTTAATTCCTATACATAATTAATTACCATCCTGATATTAAAATCGAGGCCATTTTATTTAAAGCTTTAAACATTAAACAATAAGTCCTTCAGGGTTAGTAAAAGCGAAAAATTACAAGAACAAAGGAAAATCGAATTTGCGATAAACCGGACGAAGTCAGGTGAAGCTTCATGTCACTTTCTCGTGTACATAAGGTTATTATTAAAAATGTATAGTAACACGATTTTCACGTAATCTAGGGTAAATTCAATAATAAAATGTTCTCATAAGTATATGAAAAAATGGCGGCAATGGTTTTAAAGAAACTGATGAATGGACTTAATGCATTTAGGAATCTCACAGGGCAGATTGAATTATTAAATGTTCGAACATGTAAACAATTTTCCAATTTAAGTTGTACGGTGAGTCGCACTTTTATGTATTACATTAGTTGGTAGCTTCAACTATGTGGAAACTAGATTTCATGTCCTTTTCATGTTTCTGTCTCGAAAATGGATTGTATGATGATATTTGTAGAGGTTAATTGTGGTGAAAAATTATAGTTGATAAGGAAAATGCTTTATCAAATCATAGATATTTACTATACCTCACCATCTTCCATCAGCGTCTTTACATCTAGTGAAATCCATTCCTTCCCATTCAACTTGGACTTTTTAATGGAACGCGATCGGCATTTCTTACCTCGGTAATACCGCTTAATGGCGAAGCGCTTCCGGCTTCGAAACTAATTGCGAGAAGGTGACGTCGCCCGTTTCCGCAGGGTCTTCAGGGTACGAAAATAGTTCCTAACCTAAAAAGGAGCCTCGTAACTCTTTGTCAGCAAGTGGAATTGCGCCGCGAACCGTCTCGGACTGGTTCGCCTCATTAGAACGCGAACTTCTCGGTGAGAGTCTCTTTACTTTCCACCGGAGAATCACTTCCCCGGAAAACCTCGACGCTTCGTCTCGCTTACGTTAGATGTCCGGCATTTTGATCATCAGATCGGAAGACGCCTCCTTGGAATCGAAATCGTAGCCAATTGGATATTTCCGAAGGCAATTAACTCAGAAATCAGTGAAGACGATTTCCTTCAGAGACTATTGCCTTTCATTCCTTTGATTGAATCCATTAGTTCATTCACTGCCCGCTACCAATCTACACGGCATTGCCATCAGATTTTGTTGCTCTTTACATTTGGTGATTTCCCTGTCAAGGTGTATAGAACATGTTCAAGTGCACACTAATTTGGTTCATTAGTTCAGTCACTGCCAGCTACCAATCTACACAGCATTGGCATCAAATTTTGTTACTCTCTACATTTGTCGATTTCCCTGCCAGGATGTATAGAACATGTTCAAGTGCACACTAATTTGGTTCATCAGTTCATTCATGGCCAGCTGCCAATCTACACCGTCAAAAATCTTGTATTAGATGTCTACAGGAGAAATTCCAGGGAAGTATTGGCATTAGATTTTGTTGCTCTGTATATTTGTCAATTTCCCTACCAGGGTGTATAGAACATGTTCAAGTACACACTAATTTAATCCATTAGTTCATTCACTGCCCGCTACCAATCTACACAGTATTGGCATCAGATTTTGTTGCTGTGTACATTTGTCGATTATCCTACCAGGGTCTATAGAACATGTTCAAGTGCACACTAATTCATTCCATTAGTTCATTCACTGCCAGCTACCAATCTACACAGTATTGGCATCAGATTTTGTTACTCTGTACATTCATCGATTTCCCTACCAGGGTGTATAGGACATGTTCAAGTGCACACTAATTTAATCCATTAGTTCATTCACTGCCAGCTACCAATCTACACAGTATTGGAATCACAGAAATCTTATATTAGGTATCTACAGGAGAAACTGCTGGGAATTATTGGCATCAGATTTTGTTGCTCTGCACATTTGTCGATTTCCCTGCCAGAGTGTACAGAACATGTTCAAGTGCACACTAATTTAATCCATTAGTTCATTCACTGCCAGCTACCAATCTACACAGTATTGGCATCAGATTTTGTTGCTCTGTACATTTATCGATTTCCCTACCAGGGTGTATAGAACATGTTCAAGTGCACACTAATTCGGTCCGTTAGTTCATTCACTGCACGCGAAGAGCTAAAAAGTCTCTCTTTAACGGGCGGTTCCGCTCTTCAAGGTGGCACATTCGAGCTGCAGCTCTAAAGTATACAAAAGGTTCGAAAGCTTGTAACTAAGGCAGTTTTAAAGCTGCAAATTACGGAGTTTACTCGTTTCTGTTATCTCTCCAACCAGAAGAACTTATGTTTGAGTCGCACTCTGGGCCTTTATTGTTCCTAAATTTGCGTTAAAAAAGCGCCTTTTCCCGCTACTTAATCTTCGGTGCATCTGACTGTAATATGTGTTCCTAGAAATAATTTATTGCTAGTTATCTCGAAACGAGCGTGCTTTTATGATCCTAAAACCAGTAAAGAAACATATTAAGACATTTACTTTGGACTTCTTCGCCCTGTCCTCATTTAAACTATCATTTTTTATTACAGGGTCCTTTATTAAAATGGACATGGTCCTTGCGGAGTATCTTCCAGATGGACAAAGCGATGAAAAATTTGCATGAAATTAGCCCAAAGCCCGAAGTGTCGCCTGTTCGTATACCCTAACCTTCTCGCACTCCTACCGCGTAATTAAAGTTTATGTCTGTCGGTTTACTTCAATCTCTGCTCGCAATTACACCATGGTGCCATTGACTCGGCCAGAAGCTGGACGTTATGTTCACCGACCCTAACCTATCCCACGCTAACACAATACTGAACTACCAAGCCAGTTCGGTGGAATACTCTTAAGAACAAAGTATCTGTCTCAAATCGCCTGATTTCAGAGAGGTTTCACTTCACCTTAAAAGTAAAGTTCTACAAATTCTCGGTGCAGCACTTCCGCCCTGAAAAAATCTGGGGCGATTATTGAAGTTGGTGGGGCCGTGGTAACACAATACTCAACTATCAAGCCAGTTCGATAGAACACTCTTAAAAAGAAGTATCTTTCTCAAATCGCCTAATTTCAGGGAGGTTTCACTTCGCCTTAAAAGTAAAGTACCGAAAACTCCCGGAGCAGCACTTTCGCCCTGAAAAAAGGTGGGGCGATTAATGAAGTTAGTCGGTTGAGCCGTGGTAACGCAATACTCAACTATCAAGACGGAATTACACTCGAGAAAGTTCCGGTGAGTTAGGGTACGGCCCGAGTGGAGGCGCGCAAAGAGGGTCGAGAAGACAAGGACTCGGGACGTCTCGAGGCATTTCCCATCTTCGAGCCAGTGGAGCTATCCGAGCTTGGCTAACTCGATTTGATTTCGATTCGAGCGTTGCACTTCGCACGGCCGGCACTTCGTTGGCCCCGAAGTGTCAGACGTTACCGGAGACCCTTCTCGCATCGCCGAGTTGCGTCGCCATAGTGTCGAACCCCTGTACGGGTTCTAGGCACTTCCTTTGCATAATCCTAGAGAACGACTGTCTATGCAGGGTTGTCTGGACTTGGTCCAAGTATAGTAGCTCTTGTGTGCGTGGAGTGTTCTGTAGTAGATTCCACCTTGTCGGTAACTAACCCCAGGTTGTACAACGCTGAGTGTCGAAGTCGATTTGTGTGTGTCCCTAGGGGTGTTGTGTCACCATCAACTACGTTAGAGGTTCATAGACCTAATATGTAAGTACTAGTCGCGATGTACGACTGTCGTCGAGTTTCTTACAATATATTCTGCATATATAACATCGTTAGCAGAGGTTTATAGACCTATCTTGTAAGTACTAGTCGCAATCCAAGTAGAACACAGCCTTGGCCACAACATGACGGAACATTGGTCCATTATGTGGATGTTGGTCAATATGTAGCGCATAATATGCAGGTGTTGAAATTCATTTTTATTTTAAGTATTGTCGGGGAAATATTAATTGAACATTCGTTCGATATTGTGATGCGATGTGATAGTGGCGTCAAAGAGGTCCTGATGTCATGGGTATCATCCGCTAATTGCAGGGTCTCTTGCAAAGTGCAAGACCCAACCGTTCTACGAGGATCCTTACCTCAGGAAGAGCATTTGCTTACTTGAAGGATTAGCCAAGATTTCCAGAAAAAAGGATACGTGGCGATGTGCTGTGGTGGATCATTAGGACCAGATGGAACAACAGTTCCATGTTGTGGTTCGACCAGCACCATTTGCAAGAGACCCGACCAGCACCATTTGCAAGAGACCCGTCCAATACATCAGAGTCACAACAGCGTCAAAGTCTACATGTCTATACGTACATATCTCCGCATGGCTATCATATTAACAGGCAAAATAATTAACGCTATCAATCCACATCGTTATCGCAGAGAACTTGATATTTTCCGAAGGCATAAAAAAATGGAAAAATCGGAGTTACAACAGCCTAGAACTCCACATGTCTACATGCCTATACGTATATATCTCCGTATGGCCATCATATGAATAGGCAAAGGAATTAACGCTGTCATGGCAGGAAAAAAGTACAGAAAAGTCGAGCCTGGCACAAGTTCTGACAATGCGAGGATCTGCTAGTTAATCCTCGAGCTTTCGGAAAAGCCGATCGAGTTCTCGAGTTTTCCTATCGGGCCGAAAATATCGAAATGCCGAACTCGCTCTTTTTTGGGCTGACATGTACAAGGAAAAGGCATTTAGTGGATTAAGGTGAAGTGAAAGCCCTGTCGAATCAATCGACTCGAATAAGACCTTTTTTTAAGGGTGCTGGATCAAACTGCCCGAAACTTTGACACATTACTCGTGATATTTGGACGTTTCATGTATATTAAATGACCCTTTCATATCACCTTAAGGGGATGTGAAAGTGGCATCAACTGTTCATGACACATTTCTACTAACTGGGTGTACTGAATCGTTCCAAACTTTACAACGTGGATGTGGTGCTCTATGGTAGGACCTGAAACCCATGAAATTTTTTACAGAAAATGTTGAAAACGTCTGTAAACAAATTTTGTTAAAATTTGTAATCTCATGGGTGTCAGGACCCTCTTTATAGATTCCATATTCTCATTGTCAAGTTTGAAACGAGAAAGTTGTGTACAGGAGTGACTAGAATTTCCTAGTGGGTTCTGTAAAAAATAAATATGCATTTCACGCTAAAGCTGCATTGCGGTGAAGGTCTGGTACTTCGCGAGGATTCTCGTTCTTGCCAAGAAAGTCTGCGACGAGCTTCGCATTTGTCCGATTAGACGAAGCTCAACCCTTTAACCTCTTCACTTACAATATCGCGTGAGAGACGTGGTATATCAAACAAAACAGTCATCGATACCGAAAAAAAGATGGACTCATGACAACCGCACTTACCTACGCATGTGATTCACCCACAGCACTTATTTGAATAGAACAATGAAGCGTTAACGATGCCAATGAAGTTCTTCCGAAGCGATTATTAGATCGAAATCGGGGATTTGCATCTTCATGTCCATCCAGCACCAAAAAACCTGAACTATGAACGGGAGCGCAGCAACAAAGCAGTCATGGATACTGAAAAAAGAACGACTCATGACAACCGCATTTGCCTACGCATGTGATTCACCCACAGCACTTATTTGAGTAGCACAATGTAGCGTTAACGATGCCAATGAAGTTCTTCCGAAGCGATTATTAGATCGAAATCGGGGATTTGCATCTTCATGTCCATCCAGCACCAAAAAACCTGAACTATGAACGGGAGCGCAGCAACAAAGCAGTCATGGATACCGAAAACAGAACGACTCATGACAACCGCATTTACCTACGCATGTGATTCACCAATAGCACTTATTGGAAGAGAACAATGTAGCGTTAACGATGCCAATGAAGTTTTTCCGAAGCGATTATTAGATCGAAATCGGGAATTCGCGGCTTTTGCACGTTCCCATCAGTCCAGCACAAAAGAAGTTGAACATCGACGGGGAACGCGGCAGACGCTACTTGCTGCCAATCGCTCGGGGCGCTCTTCGTCGTGTATTTGTATTGGCCTAACGAACTAGGAATTCGCCAACGAGTCCGGAGCGCGACGGGAGCAAAAGGAAAATCCGGGGAACACACAAAACCGCCGGTTTTTTTCCCCCCCGTCGCGAAGTGCGGCGCAAAACTCCATGAATTATTCACGGCAGTTCTTCGCTCGACCGATTCCGCACTCCGGCGCGATTCCGCGTTGCCTCGCACGACCGCAAGCCAGTTCGAAATAACTACGTCGCTCGATGAAAATTTTCTTTATGTACCGGATGCTCGTTGTTGCGTCCTCGTAGACCGATCGACGACTTCTGCCGATCCGACTGGTCGATTTGTTCATATCGCCGGACAAAGATGAGAATTTCGTCCTGGAGAGTTTCATCCTTCTCAATACCAGAAAGGACGAAACAGTATCCCAGGGAAAGGAGGCAGGATTATTTGTAGTTGATATTTTTACATGTCGTTACGATTTCAGACACTAATTTCAACGGAAGCAGATCGTATGATCATTTGTCTAGATTCATCTCCTTTATGTTCTTCAGTTTGAGCGGAATATCGTAAATGCTCCGGGAATTGAAAATCCACATGGCTTTGATGTCCTGTCATCAACAAAGTCTGTTGAAAAATCCTTCTCAATACCAGAAAGGACAGATCAATATCCCTGGAACAGAAGGCGGGATTATTCCTAATACGAGTGTGGCCGAAGGGAACAAAGTGGCCCAAGATTGCATTTTGTTGGTCCACCTCTCGAGGAGACTCCAGGTCTCCTAGCTTGATTTCTCTCTGCAGTTCCTTCGATTCTCCCTTTCCTCCATTCCTGGTTTCCTATTTTTCCGCGTCTCTCCTAACACCTCCGCCTCATCGATTGAGATCGTCAAACCCATTGGCCGGTCTTCTGCAGACTCCTTCCTGACCAAATTGCATAAAATTGTCCCCGGTAATCAGGGTCTTTCGTCCTGGCGACCAAAGCCAACGACGAGGCGCCCCAGGAAAGAATTCTCAAAGGCTCTCCTCTAATGAGAGACGTGCCGTCGTATCCTGGACCGCATCTCAAATCGAATTACCGGATTACCGAAACGGACCGACTTCCTTGTGTTCCCTGAAAAACCCCCACGCTGCATTTCCCTTTGTGTGTTTCCTGCAAATCCCTCTTTAAGGCGATCCTAAAGTGGCTGCACAAAGGTCTCGTTTGTGAAATTTTTCTCTCAATTTTGTGCGTTGAGTCGCTGCAAAGTTTGCAACATGAATATAGAGGCCATGATGAAGGTCCGGACACCCATGAAATTTGAATTGTTTAAAAATTGTGTTATAGGTATTACAAACATTCTTTATTAAAAATGAACCCGTAAACTCCGGATTAGGAATCAAACCCGCGAATCGACATCTTGTTCATGTGCTGGTCCTTCAAGAAGGAACCACCTAATCTCCTTTATCAACGCAACGCCTCCACCAAACTTGTCGCGGAGGGAGACAATCGCTAATCCTTGGGATAACGTTAGCTCCAGAGTCGCTGATAAAGGACTTGATGTGGTGGGTGAAAAATGATCGCGTTAAGCGTCGAACCCACCGTGGACGCTTATCGCACGGGTCGTGAACCTTAATTGTTAAGACCAAATGAGACACCTTTAGCACCCTGCACGAGGGTGCACTAAGCTCGTGCATTAGAGCGTATGTACGTTATGGCT